ACCTAGCACTCCCTCCTTGACACTGAAGCAGCAGAGGTGGGAGCATGGCCAGACACTGGCCAGCATGCCCCCTGAAGCAGAGGAGACAGGAAGGGGGTTTATTTCCATCTCTGCCCCCTCAGGACCATAGCCGGGGACTACCAGCCCTGACCACCTCTGCCACCATCAATTGCTCCCTCTGTGGGATGAGCAGCAGAATAAGCTCTTTTCCAGTCCCCTTCACTAGATGCTTGAGGGAGGGGGAAAATAACTCCCTTCCCTGCCCCTCGCCTAAGGGGGCCATGCCAGCAGGCTTCTGGCCATGCTCACACCCCTGCTGCTGAAGTGGCAAGGGGACAGGGACTGTGATGGGCGAAGTAGTCCCTCTCATGGTTTCCTGGGGAGTGCAAGCCTTTTCCTGGTGGGGCTGGGGGGAGGAGGCTGTGTTGTAGGGCAGGTAGAGCTGCCACAGACTGCGCAGAATGAGTATAGGTGCTAGGGAGGGTTTGGGGGGCTATGACCACCACTCTAAGTCCGGGTGCCACTGCTCACCCTGCGCAGTCTGCAGCAGCTCTGCTCCCGCCCCAGCTCCTGGCCACAGCACAATCTCCCCCCCCCCCCCCGCCCCCCCCGGCCAGGAAGAGGCTTATGCTTCTGGGAAACCAAAAGAAGGACTACTGCTCCCATCAGGGCTGCTCCTCCGTTGCTGCTCCAGTGGTAGAGGCGGGGGTGTGGCCAGAGGTTTGCTGGCATGACTTGCTTAGGCAAGGGGCAGAGAGGGGAGTTAATTCCCCCCTCCCTCCAGCATCTGGTGAAGGAGACATGGAAGGAGCTTATCCTGATGCTCACCCTGTGCAGGGAGCAATCAACGGTGGTCAGGGCTGGCAGACCCTGGCTGCGGTCCCCCAGGGACAGAGAGGGTGGAGGGAGGAATAAACCCCCCTCCTGCCCTCTCTGCTTCAAGAGGCCATGCTGGCCAGTGTCTGGCTGCACCCCACCCCTGCTGCTGCAGCGGTGAAGGGGGAGCACCAGGCAGACCTGGCTCAGGCCTGTCCAGTGGGACAGGGAGGGGGGCATTAAACTCCCCGGTCAGTTCACTTGAGGCTGCTGCCGGGGCTTGCCATGCCTCCCCCCCCCAGCACAGCTTCCCTGCAGTCAAGGGCTACTCTAGTGTCCCCCAATGCCTGGTCTGAGCCACTGCAGGCATGTACCTGCATGCATTTCCTGAATGTCTATTCACCTGCAAATTGGTTCAATCCAGGCAGGTTAGACTAACCTGCAAAGATTGAATCAATTCAGGCTCTGGTTTTATGAATGTCTGTCCCTAGCCAAAAGAAACAATCCTTTATTTCTTCAAATAACTCTTACCTACATTTGCTAACTATAGATAAAGTGCTTCTTGCATATCTCCAACACCTGATTTATAGTTAGAAGTGAAATTCTAACATTCTGTAATGTAAACAGCATGTGCATAAGAGCAGGAGGAAACTGGGGGCAGTCCACAGAACTATGCTGACTGTTAATTTGGACTATAAGTACCAGAAACCCCCAGGGGTTAAGTGCGGGGCTGGGCAAGGGAAAAAGGAATAAGAAGCTTGAGGCTGTAGGAAGGGGAAGAAGGGCATCCTGCATGTGGAACCTGGTCAGCCCAACACAGAGGAGTGCACAGTGGCTTGAGCTGGAGGTCTCACTGGCTTAGTCAGCCAGGACTGTGAACTGAAGGAGCTGGACTCAGACTTAGGGACAGCTGCAGACTGCTGTTTGAGTGCTCTAGGGATTAAAGGCTTGTCTGGGGACACCTCCAGAGGTGTGGGGGGAAAATTAAGGTCCTGAGTATATGTTACCATAGTGTTAATATCTCTTTACCTGTTCCCTCCTTTTGGCCTGTTGACTTGTGACCCAAACCCCTATGATCTTCTACATAAAAGTTGGATTCCCCTCCCCCCCCCCCTTTACTTTTTGTGCCAGTTTCTGGGGATGGCACAATTCCTTTTATAACTGCTGCTCCTGGGCTATGAGGGCTTAAGCAGAGAGGGGTGGGGTCACTCTAAACCCAGAAAACCCAGATTCAGGGAGCTGAATTGAGTTACCCACCCCCACAAGTTGCTTGGAGGGCTAGCAGGAAGGGAAGTAGAAGAGAGGAGCTGCTACATGAGGGCCATTTTGCCCAGAGCCAGCACAGTTAGAGCATGGGAGAGGTCTTGCTCCCTGCTATACTCCCAGAACCACTGAAAGAGGCCCCAGGGAGATTGTGGAGGAGCCTGATCTGAGAGCAGGTGGAGAAGGATTGACTTCCCCACACAGGAGACCCCAGTAGAGAGAGGAATTGATTGGTGCTACAGAGTCAGCATGTCTACACATGCACTTGACTGCGCAGTTATTAATATGCAGTTATTTGTAGTTGATAAAGTACTAAATGATTGTGCACTTTAGCAAGTACTAAATAACTGCGCATTAACAGTTGGTAATGCGCAGTCCTAGCACTGCACGGGTCATTTCTGACCCTTCCGTACAGTAGCAACAATCTACTTTGATCCTGTACTTATGGTTTTCTTGGTCACAGTTGTGCCCGCCAATGCTACTTCACTGTAGCGATGAAATACATTGCCATAGCTCGTCACTACGGTGGCATAACACCTCGTGTAGATGTGCCTAGTAATTCATACTTAAAAGGCTGCAGAAGGTAGTGAAGTCAGAGTGATTGTGAAGTGGTGAAAGTCCTCGTGCCATCTGGAAGAGGTTGGGTGGTACACAAGGTGGAGATTCTCATCCCACAGGGTCCTTATGAGACTGTTGGAGTTGGGGTTTTAAGTTGCACCTTTGAAAGGGGTAATTTTGTCGTCAGATTTCCATGCAGGGTTCCATGGGTTATAACAGATGTATTCTAATGCCCATGGCTGTAAATAAATTCAACTTGTTTGTACCCTCTTGTTAAACCTTGGTACTGGTGGGGACACTGAACCACCTCTGCCGCACCCCTTTGCAGGAGGGTTACACTTTTTATAATCCTCCCATTCCTGTCCCAGCTGTAATACATTACTCTTTATCACCAAAAGCCAAGCTAAAATAGTTAGGTACAGACTAAGGCTAATTAATGTTTGTTAAATACAAAATTTATTGTTTACTGTTACCAATATTTATACTTTGGTAACCCCTATGAGCACTCATTCCAAATCAGGGTTCATTTTGTTAGGCGCTGTACACACACATCTCTTCCCTGAGAGCTTGCCATTTATAAATTATGTTTAAACATAAAATTAAACCATACTTTAACTTCAGAGCAGTATTCCTAGTTTCTCAACAGGATACTATATTGTTGGCTCTACATCTCAAAAGTCTAATTATTCAAACAAACATATTCTCTATTTCTAAGTACAGTCAAGACTCAGTCCTCAAAACTGTTGGATCCATTCTCATACTGTCAGAGTGAATTCTCTATCCCTGTAGGACCTATCTTTTAAATATAGGTACCTAAACTGCCAATAAAGATTGTTTATCAAACCTCCATGACTGAATCTGCACTACTGAAGGAAACGGGATTACTTCTAATGCCTTGTATTAATGTAGAACCTAAGATCTTAAGTCATGAACCAAGGCCCTAGTGTGCTAGGAGCTGTACACAAGCATACACTGCATTCAGATTATATAAAACGGGCAGTGCAACATATTTCGGATCCTGGATATGATGTAACACTATAGGTAGAAAATCTCTCTCAGATCTCTCTCTCAATGTTTTCAACATATTCAGGTTACAATGTGAGTGCATATGAAAATGATCTTTTCAAGAACACCACAGAGGAAATAAGAAATGCATACTGCTCCTATTTGCAACATTGACTCTCAAACAGTGAACTTGTTTAGCGTCATGTAGGCATGTGGATTTCTATGAAGTTTTCACAGCTCATAGCCTCATGAACAGTTTATGTGGATGCAACTTTTCATGTATTGGAAATAAAATATCAGGAATAGGGATTGTGATGAAACACTTATTTTCTGTGACTATAAGCAGTTTTTATGTAATGCAAACGTTATAGTGGTATACTGCTTAATCCTTAAAGCAAGTGACAAAACACTTGATGAAGAGATTGCAGGTTTGAGATGACCACACAGAATCACATGTACATGACATGACATTATGTTTTACGTACTTGTTTATGGTTTGAAATTCATATTGAACTAGTTTTAGCCAAAAACTGAGGAGACTATAGCAAATGGGAACAGAAAATAAAGTTTAGGGCAGTACATTTGTGCAGCAAACGCATCCATCCTAACATGCAAAACAGCCACAATGAGAAATGTACAAAGCAGGGGCTGCACATCTTTGCTGTTGCTGCTCATCCTTTCTTTTTCCCCTGCTGCTGAATTCAGGGAGTAGTGGAAGAACAAACAACAGAAGGACCTGGAGCTGCTTGCAATCAGCCTTGGAGCTACCAGCAGAAACTCCATTAACATGCCAGTGAGCTCTGAGAGAGCTCAAAGGGAGGTGCGACCATGCTGCACATCCCATCTGGATCCATCCCCCCCAATCAGGAGACTCAACTTTCAAATGCAGACAAGAGAGGCTGTGATACAGTAGAACTAGAAGACTTCTGAAACTGCCAAACAGATTGATCAAGACATGTTAGTTTGCGTTTGTAAAAGTTGTTATCTTAATCTAATTAATCTAGGTAGGATATTATACAAAGCGGAAGTGTGGCATCTCACAAAACGTGGTCAGCAGTAACAGTGTGCCATCTCAAAAAACGGGGGCAGCGGGAACGTGGGGGTGAGAGAACAGAAATGGGGCAGCCGCAAGACCCTTGCAAAGGGAACAGTAAAAACTGTTATTTCTTTACCACAAACTGTTGTATATGAGTTTCTGTATGTAATAAAGAGTTGTTTCTACATTACAAATCTCAAGATACTACAATATTGACTAGCTTTGCTATTGCTAAACTGTACCCAGTGGTGACTAGATACAATGAAATTCAGACAGAATTAAAAGAATAAAACCTTTTAAATATGAAAGAAACATAACTTACCACTTCTTCATGGGTAGCATTTTCTACATTTATGCCATTAACCTGAAAGTGAACACAGAATGGAATCATTTAATAAAATTAATAGTAAAATTGTACATGAAACAAATGTGTGTATAAAATAAATAAACCATTTACTGACCTGTATTATTGCATCTCCTATAAATAACATTCCTGTTTGGTCAGCTGCAGGGTTACAAAAGCAGAACATGTTAATTGAAAGATTTAAAATAATGACATATTCCACTCCAGTAATTTTTTTAGCATGCTGTTTGTAATAGTCATTTGAAATTGCTTCTTTTGTGAAAATGCCAGCAGCATAGCAATCAGTAATCATCCAGTAATGCTAACTAGATTGGTACCAATTTTAAGCAAATTAAGAGAGTTACTTTCTAGGCACAAAGGACTTATTAAATATGGAACACAAATGCCATTTCTCGCTAATGAAGGATTTCATTAAATTATGTGGAAAGTGTGATTCACATTTTTCATTAGTCTTGCTCAGACAGTAAAATAGGAATCCTAGAAGCTAGTTAGCAACTTTCCCCCCCTGAAAACAAATTTACAGGGACTGCTATAATTAGAGAAGTTGTGTTTAGAATTTAATAGAATTATTTAACAAGAAGTTTGAGTTTGCTGTACTCAGGAAACTAAAACAATTATTTCAACCAGAAACATACATATTCTCATATAGCCCACCTTCATACAAATAAAACTATTAACTATACATGTAACATATGCATGCAATGCCAACAATTACTTTTGGTGTCATACACCTCATGCAAATAGATATTCAGTGGGATTTCAGGGAGTTTATTACCTCACAGATGGTGACAAATTATTCACTTACTTGAAACCCCAGTTAAAATGGGTAAAGCCCTGATCCTTAAATATGAATAATCTTTCATTTTAACACATACATAAATGTTTGCAGAATGAGGACCTAAGTTTTTTAAGAGTTTAAAAAAATGCAGAGATGACAATATTTTGAGAGTGTGAGCTGGATGGAAGGGCTTAACAACATGGCATTATCACTGCTCATGCAATAGTGCATTTGAAAATATGGAAAACAAGGCTTTAGTTCAAACACAGTTCAGTTTATGAAGTTGTTGGAATTATATCAGGGATGAATCTGACACACTACTATTGGATAAAGTAGGTATTTTATTAATTAAACTTACTTGATTTTCTTATTAGTATTTGGGCAGTTTTCCATATGTATGTTAGTCATCTTTAAATGGCATGCTGTAGACTGGAGTGGACCAAGCTGCTGCATGCATAGCACAAGTGCCATGGGCAACTGCTGTGTGTGGCACACAAATCCCAGCTGCTCAGTAAACTGAGGTGCTGAAATGGAAGAAGGGGGACTCAAGCCTTCAGGTGAGCAGAGTGGAGTGGGGGGGAGCAGGATGCTGCTGCTACAGCAGGTGTCAGGTATGACAACCAACCCCAGGTTAACCCTGGCCATAAGAACATAAGAATTGTTATTTACTGGGTCTAACCATAGGTCCTTCTTGCCCACTATCCTGTCACACAGGGAGACAGAGTGGATGCTGAAAGGGAGAATTAATTGGGTATGCCTAGGGTTTTTTCCCCATTGTTCCTCTCTCACTTGCAGACTCCAGCATTTAAGGTCTCAGAAGTTCTAGTTCAGAGGCTATATCCCTAACTCCCATGCTCAAGAGCTTCTGATGCCCCTTTCCTCCAAAAAATTGTCCAATCCTCTTTTGAATCTGGCTAAACTGTCAGCTTCCACAGCATTTGGTGGCAAGGAGTAACGTAATTACACGGTGTGTGAAAAAGAACTTGCTTTAGTTAGTTTTAAACTTACAGCCTACTAGCTTCATTTTGTGACCACTAGTTCTTGTATTGTGACTGAGTAAATAATAAATTCCTATTTACTTTTCCTTCACCATTTAGTATTTTGTAAACCCCACTCAAGCATCTCTTTTCTAAACTGAGTAGGCCTGTCCTCTTTAGTCTTTCCTCATATGGAAGTCTCATCCATACTACGAATCATCCTTGTTGCCCTTCTCTGTACCTCCCCTAGTTCTTCTATATCCTTCCTGAGGTGTGGGGAACAGAACTGGGCACAGTATTCAAGGTGTGGGCACACCACAGATTTATAAAGGGGCATACTGCTACTTTCTGTTTTGTTTGCAATTCTCTTCTTTATAATCCCTAATATTTTGTTTGCCTTTTTGATGGATGCTGAGCACTGAGCCTGATCATCCAAAGGCCCAACTGACTCCCTAATAGGTCTTTGGCTTTTAATGTACTTAAATAATTGTTTAATGTTACCTTTTGTGTTTGTAGCAAGTTTCTCTTCTAATTTTCCCTTAGTTTGTTTTATTACAGTTTTACCTTTGATTTGTGTCCTTTTTATTTTCCTCATTAGAATTTGATTTCCACTTTTTGAAAGAAGCCTTTTTTTTCTGCTTTTTGCCTTGGTAACTCTGGCATTAAACCATGCTGACTTTCTTTTGGTCCACCTTCCATTTGTTTTTAATTTCCAGTACGCATTTGCTGTGTCTTCAATATGGTGTTCTTAAGTAGTTCCCATGTTGCTTGCAAGTTCCTTACCTCTTTAGCCCCCCCCTCCCTCACCCTCTTTAACTTCTGTATAACCAGCTTTCTTATTTGGGTGTAGTCTTCTGTTTCCATGGAAGCCAAACCCTATTGCATTGTGGGCACTGTTGTTAAGCAGCTCAGTTATACTTACCCTTTGCACAAAATCCTGTGCACTGCTTAGAACTAAGTGAAGAATGGCCTTTTCTTTTGTAGGTTCCAGAACTAAGTGCTCCAGGAAACAGTCTTTTATAACATAAAAAAAATTGGTCTCTGCATCCCAGCCTGATGTTAGATTGACCCAGCAGCCCTGCAGATGCCACCAAATTCAGGGCTTTAGATCCTCACTCACCAAATGAGGCTATAATGCTTGTGGGGCTAGGGATGAGTTAACCTGGCCCTTGGTGGTGCCGCCTTATTCACAGCTGCTCTGCTCTGTGCAGCCAGAAGCTCAAGCCTCCTGTCCTCCATTCCACTGCCCAAGGAACAAGCTCTATCAAATAAGCCTCTGGGGGGCAGGGGTCAAAGCAGCACTCATGAAGGAGGTGGGACTTAATTTATGGTCTAGATTATGGGGATGTAGAATAAATGTTTTGAGTTTAAAACATAGTCATCACAATTGCAATCTCTTGTATATAACAAATGAACCTCTGTCTTTCAAATAGAATTATAGCAAATAAATCAGAGATGAAAAGAAGTAGAGTCATACTAACTCATGTCAAGCTCCACACTGGTTTGGCTAGATTGCTACCTGGACCTGTATTTAACATGGTTTTGATATTTCTACACTACATTTCTATATACCACAATAGAAATTCACTTTGTGCCTCAGGCTATATCCAGTCCATAGGGCTCCTTGCAGGCCAGATCCAGCTGGGAACATGCAACTCCAGCTCCCACCTAGAGACATGGTGATGGTGGCAGTGGCAGTGTAAGTGGCAGCAGCTACACCTCTGACCTGGGGCATGTGATGGTAGGTCTAACACCTGCTACATTCCCCCATGTAGAAACTGGAAATGCCACCACCATGAACCTCTTGCCATAGCCACAGCTGCAACTCCAGCTCTAGTAAGGGACTGGCAACTGGGGTGATAGGGCCATGGCAGTGGCAACAGGCAAAGTGACTGAGGGCAACCAGGGTTCTGTTAGCCCTAACTTTCCCTCTTTCTGATGACCACCAGGTCTGCCAGGCCCAAGAGCCCCAGATTCTGCAGCGGGCCACATCCCCAACAATGTCTCCTAACTTCCGGTGGCCTGCCAGTAGTGCAGCAGACCGGACAGAGTAGCTCTGTGTCCCAGATCTTACCCATAGGCTGCATTTAACACCTCTGTACTATAGCATATTCCAATATCCACTCTGTAGGCAAGGTACGTCTCCCTTGGTATAGGTATGATGTTCACATGATGTATCTGGAATTCAATCTAAATCAAAGATTTCATTTTTTCTTATTTAAGTTCTGGAATTTAATATTTTGAGTCTGGTTCAAATCAACCAGAGCTCAGGACTACCTTCCTGCAAAAGTATTCTCCGTACTGGAGCAGAGAGTCATATCCCCCCCGGCTGTTTCCCTGGATTGTTTATATACTTTACATTAGACAGTTAAAAACAAAACAAAAATATAAATATAAATAGGCATCAGAACCCAGAGCCCAGGGCACCCCCATCTCAAAGGAGTCCACAAGCATTGGGTTACAAAGCCACACTTCAAAAGTGGAGGCTGATTACAATCTGGCCCTTTAGTGAAAAGGGTTCCAGTCCTCATTACTGTGAAAAAATCTTAAATGTGAACTAAATCTTAGAAGGCTTTAGTAATGAGAATGTAATCACTACTGCCTTTTTTAAATGTTCCCTTTTAGAAATGGCTCAAAATGTGCATATATTCATACCCATAGCTTTACCAGTAAACCACCTGCCACTTAAACCTTACCATTGATTCTAATGTACATCACTATTTCTTTAAGCAATTATAGCAACTGTTATACTGTTAACTATTTCAGGGGGTAAGCTGGAGAAGCAGATGGAGTAAAGGCTAGAAGAGGGAATAAAGGTTGTTTCAGGGAATGAAGATTGGAGGGAAGACCCCCAAAAGAGGGAACAATGGTAGAAAAGGGTATATAGAAGAGCAGAAATAGCAGGGGCCAGAAAAATCAGTATAAAAAAAAAATCTATGGAGTGACTGTTGATAAAACAAGGCAAGTAGCAATAATAAATAATGGTTTAGTTACTTACTATATATAGAGAGAGTACACTTGATAATTTTTGTACATTTCAGGAAAAAATGTACAAACATTTGACATTTTGACATTTTGTGGTGGTACCCATTCAAAAAGCATACTAGCCTAATCTATAAAAAACAGAAATAACCCTGAGAGCATAGGCCTGTAACCCAGAATTCTCCCCTTTCATTATTGCTTAATAATACACTAGAAAGCTTGAGAGAGAAAGGATTTATAAACACCTAGGGCACTTGTCCACGTAATCAGCATTTACCTGATAAAAATGTTCCTGGTTTAATTTTCCTTTCTTAGTTTATGATGACTAATTCAGTAACATGGACATGATTTAACACATAATGGCTTACTATGCTATAACTAGTAAAATGCACTCGGGGGCACAT